TTTTTTTAGAGCTCAATTTTCTTTTAAAAATTTTAGCGTACAAATTTGTACGCTAAAATATACGGTTTAAGGGATAAGTTTAAAAGCCCGATATGTTACTTTTATTTATTTTTAAAACCGCATTTGCATAAATTTTATAGACGTTTCCATACTATACATGATATATTAATTTATACGTAATAGTAACCTCATCAACCATACATATGTGTTTGCTAATTTAACATGTATTTTGTGCAACCAGGTCATTGACGGTTATACTAACTGATCGGTATGATATTAATATTGGTAAACAAACGCGTAATTAATATGATAAAATTTGACACTTTTTTTAAAAAAAAATCTTTAACAATTATTACTCTATTGCATGTAAAAAAGCCTTTAACTCTTCTATGAGCTTGTCTAAGGAAATTACTTCTAGAAAATCTGTACAAAAACGTAAAGCAGAAGTAGACGAAAGAGATACGATCCCCATTAAAAAAGTTCTTAACTCTCCATCTAAGAAGAAAATTACTTCTGATAAAAAATTACACATAAAGCCTATTATAATTTCCTCTACAACAAACAAAAGAAATTACTCAAGTCTTACAATCAATCAACAAAACGTATAATTGGGCTTCAATAAACAATGCTTGGTACAAGCGGTATGTTAAAGTTGCTGAGGGACAGCTTTGGCAAGAGAAGTTTCGTGGAATTAAAAAATGAGGTGTGATTTTAATTCTTTATTTCATAAAGTAGAAGCAATTCTTGGTTATATATGCTTCGAGAGAATTTTTTACTTTACAAATCGATACTTCATTTTCATGTTTTTTTTTTATTTTTTACAAATCAATATTTCATGGTTTCACTTAACAACTGTAAATTTTTAAACCCTTTTGTAGAACGAAATTATTTTTTTTAAAAAAAACCTTTGGAACTAGAGATTGAAATTGATGAATTTCGAGCATTGTTTAGTTACAAACTTTTGATTTTCGAGCATCGGTAAAAAATTTTGACCAATGTTCGAATGCTTATAGAGTTTTTTAAATATTTATTAAAAATTAATATCACACTAAAAAAAATTTAATGTAGTATAAAGCTTGTAATTCTGGTTTATTTAATGTACAATGTACTGTACATGACTTATTTTTTGATTTACATTTAAATTTTTTCATATTATTTTTTAAAAATTTTACTAATAAGCATTTCTTGGTATGCTTATTGCAGGAATTGTAATGAATTTTCGCGCCCGTTTTGAAATTGCCCATTTTGTAAAGGACACCACATCACCAGGATCTGCTTCAAAATCATGTTCGGAAAGAGTAAGATATTTGTAGATTCATTACTATATCATCTTGATTTTGAAAGTTTAATGAAAAGACAGATTTAATAAATCTTTTATTAGTCATGATAGACTGAAATATCAATACAATTAGATTCGTCCTCTTCACTATTATAAGAGAACTTTACGAAATTGTTAACAACAGAAGGTACAGTGTCTTTATTTAATATTAAATAAGATTCCCATGTTTTTAATAAATGCAGTAGTTAATTAATAAATCAAAAAAAAATTTATCATTATAAAAAACAATTGAATTTCAATTTTGGCCGATATTCGATGATTGACTGAATTAAAAACTCAATGAATGAAGTTTATTTCGATGCTCAAATAATTATTCACTGATTCCATTCTCTATTTGGAACTATATGGTAATTACTTAATTCATTAACTTTAAGTAAAGTCGAAGCCATTATAACTTGAAAATGAAAGCTAAACCATCTATACAGGTAAAGAAACTGGATTGGACAAGGACCTACTCGAATAATTGATGACAAAATTTTTCAGCAAACTGTCAACTTTTTTAATTAAAAAGTGTTTAATAGAAAATAATTTTACCCAATGGCTAAAGCTTGTAGAAAAGATTGATCAGTACCTTCAAACAGGAACTATTATTTATGATCGAATAAATTCGTTTTTTTTATTTATATTAAATTATATACTGATATGTGACAATTATATACGGAGCGTAGCGGAGGACTCTGTTTTTACGACAACAAGTGATAAATTAGTGTCACTTGATCTTCTGTCTGTTCTTCTGCGTTTATGATTGGCTTAATTCGCTGTATGACCTACGTTACACTACGATCATCAATACAGCAATCGCTAGTACTGTACTCGCTATATATCACTCTATAAGTTTTGGTTTATTTTTAAGTAGCTATTTGTTACTATATAATAATCAATTATATAAATAAAATTATAAATACTGTATCTGTTGAAAAATTAATTTTAATAGTAGCTTCGGACTCCCAATGTTGCGCATTTCTTAGTGTTAAAAAATTCTCGCTAGTCCATTTAGTGATATCGGAAGGCAGATCTCACAAATTTCAGATTCTTTTAATTATAAATCATCCCGTATTAAAAGAGCTACTAACGCATTTTCTTGAACAGAAGTGCATTAAAAAAATTAAGTTAGGATGTTTTGTAAGGACATTTGTGCAAAAAGTTTGTAGGATCTTAAAATGATTATTTTGAAAACTAGTATAATAGGCTTGAGTAAATTTTAATTTAAGCCAAGATGTTTTATTATCAATAAGATACGACAGAATATAATCAACTAGCTCCTCAAAACCCAATTTATCAGAAGAAATTAAAAGATCAAATATTGTGGGTGGTTCGATCTCTTCTAATAGAATTTTACCTGTATAAATATATCTAATTATAAATTTTTTTTTAATTATCATGTTAATTATTATTAATTTATTAAATAATAAATTATTTACTTGAGTAAAATTTTAAAAGTTTCAGCAGAAATATTTTGTATCGTAATTTCTATAATATTATCCTTTTTAGTTGCTGCTGACAATTCTTGACGAAAGAATAATGAACGTTGATATAATACTAATGAATGTAACTTAAAAATTTGTTCATTAATTTTAATAATATTATAATCATATTCACTCTCAAGGAGTTGTGCAAAATCATTTGAGAAACGTTCAAGTAATTTTGTATCGGTACTTATTTGCTACATTTAAAATTTTGAAAATTTCAAATGTAGGTTTTACTTTTTTAAGCTCATTTTTTGTATTTTTATTGGCTAAAAAATTGTCATTATTACCTAAATAGCTTATTGTCACACTTAATATTTGAATGGTCAATCTATATCAAAAAAAGTTTTCAATATTTTAAGGTGCATTGTCCTTTACACGATTAATTTTAATAAAGTCAGTTGTCTAAATAACATGCTTGTACGCTTTAAAGTATTCTTTAAAGTATTTAAGAGCATAAATGCTTCACTAATAAAATTCACCATAAAATTATTTCTGGCTTTAAACGAACATTAATATTCATTGTACAAAACTGCCGGACTTAGAAAGCAATTTACTTTACTATTACTAATATATATTTACGTATTACTGTATATTATAAATATTACTCGAATTTTGATAAAATAAAATAGGTCAGGCCATTTTGCTATTGTCTACCTTAACCTTTTCTCAATTTTTGACCCTTAACTAGCGCACTAAGTTGAAAAAAAATTACTTTTATAGTTACGATTTTAAAAATTAATACTTCAATTAAAGGATAAATATTTAATTTTAAATATCCTTATACGTCATTTTATGTGCAATGCCAAATCTAACTTAATCAGAGGACTAAGTTTTCTTATTAAATTATTAATGATTTTGCATATTTACAATCCACAAATCTTTTATGAATCCTTATTTTATCACGAAAAGTTGAAGATAGAGGGTTTCAGAATTAATGATTCGGTGTCCGATTTCAGATAAAATAAGTGACGTATTTATTCAAAAGAAATGACGTACAGATCCTTTTTTTTTTTTAAAGTATATATCTTATTTTCATAATCGCTTACTGGTATGAATTTATGAAAAGAAGCCAATTTTATCACTGGCTACGCCTATTTCATTTTCTGATTCGGAATTTTAATACAGAAAATGTGGCCTTTTAAATTCTCACTTATTTTCGAAATAAGAATCCCGAAACCTCTAATAAATAATTGAACTTATACCAATATATTATTTGAGCTTGCCTAATTAAAAAATATCCAGTCTCTTCTAAAGACGCTTTGGTCACATGTAAGATTTCCATAGATTTCTTAAAATAAATAGCATCCTGTTGTTATCCATTTATGCGAAAGTATGATTGATTGTAATGAAACTTACTACGAAAAAGCATGTAATGATGACTTTAAACAACTTTACAGACCTTTATAATTAAAATTGGTGGTTGAAAAAACAATGTACTTGATACGAAACGAGAAGAAATGGTGAAGTTTTTATTTACATCAATGAAGCTTTTTCATGAACTTTATACTGTACGATGTACAAATTAATTTACTTTATTGCTCTTCGAATCTGATAGAACTGATTTATTGACCAATTGGAATATTTAGGAATTAATCATGTCATTAGAATATTTAAGAAAACTTTATTTCACAATTGCTCAGATACGTCAGATTTTGGTTCTGATTGTAGTCGACCCAAACCTCCCAACCTCGCTCAAAAAATCAATTATATATCAGGATATTTAAAATTAAATATATATCCGTCAATAGCTATATATTATAATTATATTTAAGTAATTACTTTTGGAATCTAACCCAAGATATTAATTAAAGGAAATGTTCTTTAAGACAATTTTGTCAATAAATATCTTTAGTAAAACTTTTAAAAAACTTTTAAATTGGTATTATAAAAGTAGAATTAGCTACCGACTTATGTTATTAGGATTAAATTAATACAATCTACACATACCGCTAACTAACATAAAATTCAATTGAAGTAGAAATAAATGTGAATGTTCTAATTATATATGGAATAGATGTTATACAAATAATACTTATTATGCTTTAAAAAAAACAGTGTGTGTAGCTTTATATAACAAAAGTATATATTTTCTTAAATATAATAAATATTCAATTTCTGGATCTGTATCTTTTCGCCGACAAGCTTACAGAGTTCATTTCATAAATAGTCGACAGCTCATTTCACTGACAAGTTTTTATAAATTGCACTAATACAATTATTTGAATTATTCGGTCTGTGAAATGAGCTGTCGGTGAAACATACTATCTATGAAATAAACTTGTCAGTGATGTCTTTGAAGTGATTGTCGGTGAATTGATCGGAACCATCAATTTCCTCCTACTAAGTGGATTCAAAATTGAATTGATTCCGAATCTATAGATGTTTCGTATCCACATGTAATATATTGTGATGCTGGGAAAAACGTACGCCTAAAAATCCCTACTCGTTAGGGTAAACCGGGAAAGGGTTTGCGTAACGTTCAACGATAATACTATAATGTCTCGAAAGAGGACGTTCGATTTGGCGGAGCCAAATATGTAGTTTATTAACTATGATGTTCATGAGACACCTTGCAGCTCAGTAAATGCTTATGCTTTTATAATAATTACATATCTACATAATATGCTAAATTCGCTAATTATACTAGTTATTATATATATGCTAGTTATGCTATTTACTATTTATGCTAAATTTACCTGATACGCTGCTTTCGCTAAATCTGCTACGTAATCCACTAATTTGCGCCTAATGCAACGTCAATCTATTTTTAATCGTTACAATATATATCGCTTGATACTAT